TATGTATTAATAAAGTTCAAGTGATAAAGCGTTGACATGATTTGAGTGATAAACTAACATATTGAGTAATGTAGTGTGCAAAGTATGCTGTGGAACACAGAGTGGCTGTATACTCAGGTTAGTAGGAAAAATGAACCTGCTACTTTGAGACACACAGGCCCCTGATGGGGAACCAACTACCAGTTTTAGTCCGTGAGGCAGACACCCTGTCTACTTTTAAGGCTAGGCTTAAAACTTTCCTTTTTGATAAAGCTTATAGTTAGAGTGGCTCAGGTTATCCTGAGCTATCTCTATAGTTATGCTGCTATAGGTTCAGACTTCTGGAGGACATAGGGATCCCCATTTCATCATTCTGCTTCATTCTCTCTCTGTTCTCCTATTCTGCAGAATCTGTTAGTTCAATCTCTAACGTTCTGCTCTCTCTGCTTTTCCTCAGAGTAGCTTTGCCTCGTCTGTTCCTGTTTAGCTGTGACTCCATCCTGGAAAGAAACATCAGCTGTGCTGCTTCCATCAACACCCTTGTTTATAGATGTTGGAGATCGGCCTGTTTTCCAGTGTAGCCCTGTTTCTCTGACCGTGACTAACTGGATGTGCTCTCTTCGTCCTCTGGCATGGGAGCTGGCTCGGAGCTCGTCTGCCTGGCTGTGTGTTTCCTGGACGGGGCCGCCTTTTACAGTTGCTTTTTGTATCTCTGCTTCTGTCTCCTTGAACCCCAGTCTGCCTCGGCAGATGGCCGCTCACACTGAGCCTGGTTCTGCTGGAGGTTTCTTCCTGTTAATAGGGAGTTTTTCCTCTCCACTGTCGCTACAAGCATGCTTAGTGTGAGGGATTGTATTTGAGTCAATGAGTCGATGCAATCAACTGGTTTTCCTTAGATAGAAAAATTTGTATCGATTTGACTGTATGATCTGGTTGAACTGTAAAGTGCCTTGAGATGACATGTGTTGTGAATTTGGCGCTATATAAATAAAATGAATTGAATTGAATTGATCTGGCTAGGTGACAGTAAGAAACATATATGAACCTTTACCTGCAGGCTTGACTACTATTTGTTTTTTTTATGTTAATGAAGAAAAAAAATATTTCTTATAGGTATGTACAGTAGATGTAAACAGAATAAGTATTTGTTGCACTTTTTTGAAGAGGTGGGGAAACTCTGTCTCAACAGACAGCCACAGGCATAGAATAAATGTTTGTATTTACTTTTCTAAATTTCTTTCCCTCATGTCACTCTCCCCTTAGGAGGCGGCAGAGCTCATTGGGCCCCCAAAATTGGAAAGCCCTGCTAATGACCCTTGACCCCTCCGCTCCCACCCCCACCACTTTGCCCCAACCCAGAGACACAGTTCTAGTTTTCTACTAATAACACTATTCATGTTATTAATCTTAGGATATACTAAACGTTTGGAAAGGCACATTCCTGGCTTTTACACTTGATTTTTGTTGTTTAAATATTAATAAATATGTAAAAATATATGAAACCATTACTGTCCCCGTTTCCTAATTTCATCTCGATAAGATGTATTGATTTTTATCCACGAGCAAGAAATGTCCCCAGATTTGATTTCAGAAATCTGGTCACCTTACTTTACTCTGATTAAAGTTCGGAGATTTCAGTGTATTTTGACAACTTTCAGTGTTGCGGGAGGTTTTACTGAAATGCTCTGGACAGAAAGCAGCCCAGATGGCAGTCAGTTGGTCTAATTTCAGCGTAGCAGTGACAAAATTCAGCCTAACGACCTGCTGGAGAGAAACCTGGGCCGTTTCTCAATTCACAAGAATGAGAGTACGGACTCATGTCCTCGCCAAGTATGTTCTTGAGAAGAACAGAGACGGCAAAAGTACTCACTTTCCATACTTGAGTAAAAGTACAGATACTTGTGTTAAAAAATACTCTGGTAAAAGTGGAAGTACTGATTAAACTTCTTTACTCAAGTAAAAGTACCAAAGTACAGGCTTGTAAATTTACTTAAAGTATAAAAGTAAAAGTAGAAACCACTTTTTTCATGCCGTTGCCTACATTTTAAATGGATGTCTGCCAATAGGACTAGATCTCCGTTGTGTTCATTTTCAATCATCTCGTCGTCCATGCTACTATGCTAACGCCACCGCCACCAAGCTGCAATGATTTGCTGCCAATGAATACCGCCGAATCTGTCGATTCATCTTGTAGTGGTGCGTCAAATGCAACGTAGATTCCCATCCAATTAGATTGAATTTGGTATTGATGACGTGAAAAATAATAACGGTAACTCCATTGAAATGATTCAACACTAAAGTAACGAGCCAATTTTTTAAAATGTAAGGAGTAGAAAGTACAGATATTTGTGTAAAAATGTAAGGAGTAGAAGTAAAAAGTCGCCATAAAAATAAGTAGTAAAGTAAAGTAAAAATATCAGAAAAATCTACTTGAGTACAGTAACGAAGTATTTGTACTTCGTTACTTCCCATCTCTGGAGAAGAACACAATAAAATATGGACTTGGGGAGAACGGGAGGACGCAGAATAAATATGGGTCAAATGGAACAGAAGCGTACTGATGACGTCATCACATGCTCCTCTTGGAGCTGCATTTCCCCTCCTGTTATTATTAGTCTAGATAATACTAAATTCTGACTCTTTTCATTTATTGGGGTAATAATAATGAACACAGTCAGATAAACACAAATCAAATTAGCATTTTGCAAAATAAAATAAAAAAATCGCCATCAGTGTCCTTCACACACGGCTATACCAAAAGACGGCTGCTGCAGACGGGCTAACGTTAGCCCTGGCTGCGGTTAGCCTCGGAGGTCCGCTGGTTGCTGCAGTCCTCTCAAATTTGGAAAAAAAATTTTAAATTATGCATTAAATCGGTAAATTGACCATATAGTGACGCTTTAAAGTATAATATTCTCACCTCAAATGATCTTAAAACATACTTTTATAGAACAACGGCAACAGAAAAGAGAACTTTAAATTTAATACTCTGAGCTCTGTGAGCGCTCCATTGGAAGCTGCTGCTGCCGCAGTGCATGCTGGGACAGCTGTCAGTCTAAGAAAGGACAAGTCTGCTCTGATGCATGCTGGGTAAAGAGGGAGGGGCGAGAACAACATCCGGGGACTTTCTCCGTTCTCGATCTGCTGTTCATGTGAATTAGAACAGTACTAGGACTGAGGGTGATGACGTTTCACGAGCACACGAGAACGCACAAGTACATATATTGAGAAACGGCCCTGGACTTTGACTAGACCATTTAATACATGATTTTCTTTCTGATGCTGATGTTCCTATTATGGTCCTGGCCGTATGGGTAGGTTTATTTCCCTCTTAAAGCTCGACCACCACCCTAGACTATTGTAGCCTTTAAAGGAATAGTACACCCAAAACATGATTAGCCTTCATTTTCTACTCACCTCCATGCTGAACAACACTCTGGAGTACTTTTTTGATATCTCAAATGCATCTGATTCTGGGAGGCTTCTTGCTGTCTGCTGACATTCAAATAATGGAGGTCTATGGTGACCGAGACAGAAAGGTCCATAAAAGTCCACAAAAAACGTGTCAATATTCCTCCATACTGCTCGTCCAATGTATTCCAAGTGTCCTGAGTGGGTAGCGTCCGTAATTTACTCGAAACGAAGTCATTTAGAATGTTTTTAGAGCATAAACAGTAGTGTATAGGATTTCCTGAAAGCGCGCACATGCGCGATCATACGCTACGGAAGCCGGCAGACCAAACCAGATGAAAGTGCGCATTCTTCCAATAATGCAAGCGTAGAAGAAGAAATGTGCCGTTTACCTGTGCAAAGAAAGAAACAACGAAAGAAAAATGTCTGAGGACTTCAGTGTTGAGGAAGAGCATGAGTTCTTTGCCGAGCTGAATGCGCTGGTTTGGTCTGCCGGCTTCCGTAGCGTCGGGATCGCGCATGTGCGCGCTTTCAGGAAATCCTATACACTACTGTTTATGCTCTAAAAACATTCTAAATGATTTTGTTTCGAGTAAATTCTGGATGCTACCCACTCAGGAAACTTGGAATACATTGGACGAGCAGTATGGAGGAATATTGACACGTTTTTTGTGGACTTTTATGGACCTTTCTGTCTCGGTCACCATAGACCTCCATTATTTGAATGTCAGCAGACAGCAAGAAGCCTCCCAGATCTCCAGATGCATTTGAGATATCAAAAAAGTACTCCAGGGTGTTGTTCAGCATGGGGGTGAGTAGAAAATGAAGGCTAATCATGTTTTGGGTGTACTATTCCTTTAAGAGGTTTTCCTTCTACATTCCTATTTTCATTTTCTCATCCAGTCTGAGAAGCCCTCCAGTCACTGCTGATGAGAAGGATCCTCACAGAAGAATGCACCCATCATGCTTCTCTCTGGAGACGGTGCATTCAGGAGGATGGGACGTTTTCCCACCTTTATTTTGTACTGATTGGCCAAAAAGTTCAGTTCTGTTTTAAATCAGAACATGTTTTTATTTTGTAGATTCATAAAGGGAAGTTGTTCTGTTGCCAATTTCTGCCACCTGAGGTGTGGATCTAAACAGCTCCCCCCTGAGTGACAGTGGCCATCTTAGCTGCTTCTCTGATCAGTCTCTCTCTGCCACATCGTTAATTTCAAAGAGGCGGCCTATATTTCAAACTTTAAGATGTTCAACCATCTCAAATGCTTCCTCCCTGAATCGCTTGCTGTATCTCTTGGTCTCCACGATGCTATTTGTTCTCTAATCATCTCAGAATAGCTGGTGTTTTACAATAATGTGTGTTTATCTGTCTCATAAGATCCCTGAACAATATAAGAATAATATGTGGTGATGTTGGCAGTACCATAGCAGTGAAGGATAACAATATATACTGTATTAATATCTTTCAAGGCGCTGTAGATTTTAAAGGCTTTAATTTATTAGACAAATTATTTATTTAAACATGCGAATGTTTGTTTTTGCAGCATAAGATGTCTTCTGTGGGGCATCCTGTGGGCCCTCACGCCTCCTCTGTCCTGTGTATGCCTCAGGTGGCCACAGTTTCTGAGCGCTCCAGGATCATGGAGCTGGAGAGGGAAGTGGCGGACCTCCAGCTCCGGCTGCGGGCATCACAGCAGAAGGAGGACGCAGTGTCGCTGTCGCAGCAGCAAATCAGTGGCCTCAAGGTCCAGGTTCAAGCTCAGGAAAAAAAGGTCTGTGGCCTTAGAATTTCCTGAAACCTTTTTACATAACATAGTTGCTTTGTAACACAGCATCTGGGAGGGATAAACCTGGAGGTGTTGTCTGTCATATACTTTACAGCTCTGTTTTCAGGCCTTAATGTAAATAAACAAAATTCCTGCGTCTATACATAATGGTACTGTGATAAAACATGAATTATGGCCCAATACATGTTTACGATGTTTGTCTCAACAGATCAGCGAGCTGAGCGTCGACCTGGAAAGCAAACAGAAAGAGCTTCAGTCTGCTCATCACGATAGAGCTACTCTGGAGCAGCAGCTTTCCAGTCTGGTAAGAAGAATTGAAGAATCTCTGGTGATGATAGTGATTGTTAAAGAACGGAGGAAACTGCAGCCCCTCTCAGAGATAACTCACAGGCGTCCATGTTTCAATGCACAGCGGTAATTCTGCCATGATTTGAATTTAGAGCGCCCCGGTCTTGTTTGCACATGCAGATATCTTGTTCTGCATGTAGAGATGTATAGGAGCCCTTAAGCATTGTGCAGCATGTCATACTCCATGTAGATTTCAGGACAATGGGATGTTTGAGCAGCTCATCCAAACTCATAAATCCCATTAGATGTTCAAACATGGACACTAAACCCAACCGTGTGATCAGGGACCTAAATCATTAATTGCCACAAGAACAGGGAAAGAAATTCAAGCAACACTGCAAAACTTTTGCTCCAAGCATCAGCTTGATCTGAGTTATATTATTAAATCATTTATCAGGTTAATTAAAAGCACTTGTTGCGTACCAATGAGCTTTTAAAAACCTATTTATAGGAGAGGGTCAGATCTGTCTCTGAATGAGTCATGTGACCCAAAGTTAAGCTAAAAGTTGTTGCTCAGAAACAAAACAAAGAAAGATCACATATATTTTCTAGAGGAATGAATGTGGCCTTGAATTTACAAGGAACTCCCTGAGTTCTCTTTACAAGGTTATAAAGGTTTTAGATTTTTCATTCTAGCTTAGTTTTAGATAGTTATAACTACTTTCTTCTCTAATTCAGTTAGATTTATCATTATTTGTTGATTGTTACCCCGAAATCCCATAATAATTAATGAAATTAATGAAAAAATCCCCAAAAAATAATGAATTGTAATTTTTTGTAATGATCCGCGGAAACCCTGGATAATTTCCGCATGTTTTGCTGCTTTGAATTTAATCATCTCGTGCATGCCCTCTACGATCTACAAGGAACTTAGAGCGGAGCGGACGGGAGCCACAGTGGAGGCTGTAGGCTTTGCTTTGAGCAGCCGGTCTGGAGCGCAGCGGGGCGAAGCGCTGACGGAGTATGTGGGATTTGGGGGTTAGCATGACATGTTGGTCGTGTTGCTGTTAGCATAAACAAAACATGTCGCACAATGCTTGCACACTGTTGCACTTTTATCCACAACTTTCTTTCCGCCGTCATCGTAGGTCACTCTAAATACAATGCGGTCCATTACAGCAGACCTATAAAGTGCTGCTGGTGCGTCTTCCAACTCCTGTTCTTTCCCACTCGCCATACCCACACAATTCTCCACAACAACTGATTTTTTTCAGCTACACCCGGCTACGCTGCTTTGCTTCCTATTCTTCTTCATAAACCATTCCATCCCTATATACCGTAAATTCTCTAATATAGGCCCGGGCCTTTATTTCACTCAAGTGCATCGCGGTCCAGGCCTTTATTGGATAGAGGCCAGAATTAGAGACAGGCCTCTATTGCTATTTGAGCAAAACAGACTACCAGTGGAATGAATAAAAATGAGATTTTGTGTCTATTTGAACCTATAAAACACTAGGTTCATTTATTGAAAAAGTACAGTTACCATGTCTCGCTTGGTTTGAAGTAAAAAAATAAAAAAAATCCTCCAATTCTGTTTAAACCTCCTCCTCAGTTTTTCTCCTCCTCTTCATCTCTCCCTTTAATCTCCTCATCACTCGCGCTCTTCCTGTTCTGCTGCGTGTCTGTTCTCTTCCTCGCGCAGACGGGCAGCAGTCAGGGCCTGTCGTCCAGCTGCGCAGGGCTGTGGTACTTGTATGTTACTACCACAAGTATAATGTTGAGGTATGCCCAGAAAAAACGTTTATAGCCCTGGCCTGTATTAGAGACCGGCCATTATTTACCTCCTCTGACAGCGAGACCGGCCATTATTAGAGACCCGGCCGCTATTGGAATACAGGACAATATTAGAGAATTTACGGTATATATATATATATATATATATATATATATATATATATATATATATATATATATATATATATATATATATATATATATATATATATATATAGATATATATATATATATAGATATGGTTGAAGGAGGATGTTTAAAAAAAGGGGGGGACTGTTCTTTCAAATATCTTCTGACTTTGTACATTCCAATGCGTGCTTCTTTTATTTTTTATCTTTTATTTTTTATCTGTGATTTGTGAAATGTGAACATGTGTCTGAAAGGTGTACTACCACTGCACAAAATTGCCCATACTGGGACAAATAAAAGCTACTGAACTGAACAATGAATTTTGTCCTCATGCATTTGACCAGCGTGCTCTAACCGCTGTTGCGGGCCTTGCATTGCCTCGTCATTTCATTTTGCAGGCTAAAGGATCCTGATGCTTCATAAAATATCTCCCCCTCCTTTGTCTCAGTGAGATCTAGTCCTCTGCAGACGCTACAGCAGCTGCATTGCTAGTTTTTGTAAGTTTGATGGAATTGGAGTTTTCACAGAAACAACGAGATCTGGTGATCATCATCCCAAAAAAATTAAAGCAAGATATATTTATGGTCATTTTTGTTAATATATCAAAAAATATGGTTAAAGTAAAAACCTGATCCACAAGTTTAAGACTCTACTTTCTTTATTTTATTATTAAAATGTCTTTTTATTCTTGGGTCCAAATCTGTATCTCTGCCCAGACTCACGTTTATTACTATAAGCTGTTTTGCTTGCAGGCATTGTGAAAGTAGCCTCATTAACAGAGGCATTTCATCCACAATCTTGCATGTTTTCTGGAGCCCGTCATTATTCCCCAGTTATCTCAAGGTACAGGAATGCTGCTGTGTAAATGTTTAGCATGTAATCATGCTGATGCTTCTGCATTTCAGAGACAAAAGCTGGAGATTGCTGAGGAGGAGAGCAGGACCGTTACAAAAACCATGAAAGGTAAAGATACCTCTTCTCTATGTCTGCTGCTCATGTGATTAACTTTTTTGTGACTTGATTGATGATTGTCTGTTGTTCTGCTGTTTTCCAACAGAGCTGGAGAATTCTATGGAGCAGACAAAGAAGGAGATCCAAAGCGTGAACCAGGAAAGTCAGAGCAGAGAAACGGATCTGAAGTCCCAACTGTTAAAGGTAGGATCCCTGCATGGGCTTGGTGCTGAATGGGAACTCTGCTATATTCAACATAATCAAAGTTAGAGGAATTATTTGGGCATGCAAAGTGAAATACTTTTTAATCTATTTTGCCATTATTTTATGACCAATAAATCACCCACCTCGGTGCTGGTTTCATTTATTTAACATAACATGCAGCATTGAGTCCAATCGGCTCCACAATAGGCTCTATGCACAGCTCCACTACTTCCTGAATTTAAGGCAGCTCCTTTGTTTCCTGTCTTTCATGATTGGATGCACTGATTAATCCAGGTGTGTATGACCTAAGTAACTGGCCAGACACACCTGGATTAATCAGTGGAGCTGCCTTAAATTCAGGAAGTAGTGGAGCTGTGCATAGAGCCTATTAATGCCACAAATGTTAAGGATGTGTATTAAAGCCCTTCACTACATTTCTATGCAGAGGTAGAGCTGATTGCTAGGGTTAAACACGCATCAGAGAAATTTGTACAATATAAATCTGTGTTTGGTTCGTTCTATAGTTTTTTTCGTTCAAAACAAAAAAACAAAACAAGCATGTGGTTTTTTGTTTTTCCGTTTTTAAAACGAAATTGGAAAAAATGGCATTTGCGAAAATGAAAAAAGGGTACGTTTGTTTTTTTTTTAACTGCAATGGTTAAACCAAAGACAAACTTTTATTTTGTTGTTAATTCAACGGACCTTATGGCAAAACCGGAAATGAAGACCTGAACTCCCAAAACATAACTTGTTTAGTTACCAGTAGGTGGCGGTAATGTACGCCTTCAATTTCTTGCCAACCGCCATTACAATCCACAAGAAGAAGAACTTTTTCAGTTAGCGCTACCAAAATGGAAACGTTTGTGTTATTTAGAGGGAATCGGAGTGTGTTTTTTCTTTCTCAAAAAGTTCGATAATCAATGCAGAAAACAGTTCAAGTGCAGCCATTGCCTTTTGTTTAGAAATGGTTTGTTTTGATGCCGTCTTCATCCACTGTAAATTATTTTTCTTTGGCGACTTACTTCATTTCCGGTACCGCTACATATTAAAACAACAACCATATTTTATTTTCCTTTAGATGGCAAAACAAAACTCAAACGCTGTTGATTTTCTATTAATTCGATTTTTCATTTTTTCAATTTAGGTTTTAAAAACGGAAAAACAGAAAAACCAAATGCTTGTTTTGTTTTTTCTTTTTTGTTTTGAAACAAAAAACCAAAGAACGAACCATACATGGATTAATATGCCAGCTAATTTCCATGTTTTTGATTAAAGAAGTTAATTGGTCTTATTGTTCAACTTACAATTGTTTGATAAGCGTGTACTTTCTTGAAAACATGATTTTTTTTTCTTGTATCAACAGGATCTTTTGATTAACATGAATTACTATCTTTTTTTTTTATCTTTACAATATGCTAAATTTAGAAAAAAAAGTAGAGCATCATTCTATTTTAACAATTTATTGTGCGATCTGTAATAAATACTGACTGAATAAAGAAAACATGTTTTCCTTACACATAATTTAATGAAACATATTTCTAAGATATAACAAACCAGTAACCTATTGGGTTACTTAATAAAAAATGTTTTATATGTGGAAAATGTATTATTTTTAATTAACAGAGATGTAAAACTATCATTAAAAAACAGGGTATGTTGCACTATGTCAGACTATTAGCCTCTTCGTTTAAATGACACAAACGCTAACTGTGATATAACTCAAATTTTATTGTTATCCAGTATTTAGTGCTCTGAGAGACTTTGTTCTACTAGCAGCGCTTTTAAAAAAGCGTTTTTTTTTCAAGCACAGCAGAGAAGTTATGCTGCTTCGTCATGCAGCATAGCTAAGTAGGCAGCATTTAGGTGATAACTTAAAGGGACAGTGTGTACGATTGATCGCCATCTAGTGGTGCACTAAATTAATTACAAATGAGAGACTGGTGCCTCCGCTGTTAGCGTGTGAGACCTATTAAAGCCAGGCATACACTGTACGATTATTTGCCTTTTTCGGGCTGATTCTCCAGTCGTGGAAGAATTTTTCGATTGGTGTAGTATACAGGGGATAACGAGTGGCAATCAGACTCTCACGACCACCTTCCGATCAGGAATCGTGAGGTCGGAGAAAATCAAACATGTTGAAATTCAATCAGCCGTCGTAAGATTGCATCTGAGTGTTAAGCCGCACAGTGTTAGAACATGCATTGTGAGCTGTGAACTTTTAACCCCTGAGGTTTCGTCGTACAGTTTGAGCTGTAGCTGCGTGCAACAATTGAAAATATCCCACAGTGTCTGTCCGGCTAAAGGAAGCTGCAGAGTGACATCTACACACAGCAGCTAATAACTGTTGCATCCGAGCTCATCCAATGTCGGCTAAATAACTAGCCGTCTCTGCCTTGTTTCTAACATATAAATTCGCTATTATATTGAATAACCTAACCTGTCCTGAAGAAAGCCTGCAACATTAGCGTCCTTTTGGAGTGCACTCCCTCAGAAATTGTCTCCACCTGGAAAAATCTGCACGAACATTGTTTTATTCCTGGTTAATGTGTATTTTTTCCTTTTTTTAATGTGTTTCTTTTGCCTCTCACTCAACATAAAGTGCAGATGTTTCTTCATTGCAAAACTTGAAAGTTTAGGATAGAATGATGTAGTTGTTTTTGCTTGTTTTTAACTCAACTGAACAACACATTTCCAGACACAGGCAGACAACTTTTTCCTCTATCTGCTTCGCTAATCAAAAACGCCAACACAATATGGCATTTCCCATTGGGTGGACCACCCCTTATGTTTTTAGAAACTACTAGTTCTAAGCTAAGAGAATGCTCTCATTTTGTATTTCATGTTATTAGGCTCTCACAGAATGTGTATTTATTAAAGCATTACTAGATTTTTGCTAATAAACAGCCAGATTTGTTACATATTGACCCTTTAAGGAGTGGAGCCACATAAAGTTCATTCTGTATCCTTGTCATCATTAAATAGTGTCAATAATATCAGACTGGACTCTGGATCGATTCACTCTGGCTTTACTTCTCTTGCTAATACCAGTAAGGCTGTCCTTAAGAATGATTAGTGGTGCCTTCCAGTGGACAGTGGCAGCACTACATCACTAAAGAGACTCCTAAATCTGACTTTATCAATTAATGGGATGGAAAAAAAGTCAAGCTAATCAACCATTTATCGACAATTATAAGTCAATTATTTGTTGGTTGATTAAGTGTTTACTCTAAAAGTGATATATAGCTCTGATTGTGAAGTGTCTCTGTGGATGTGGATTAACACAGCAATGTTTAAACAGAAGCAAACTGACAGCTAATTTTAAAACTTAATTTTCCTACTGTGCTTTAAACTAAAAGAGAAAATGGCCACTTCTGTTTAGATCTGGGTTCTTTGACAACATGATTGTATTTTTAACAGTTGTTGTGCTATTTGTCTGTATGTTTCTTGTCTTGCATGACTCAGTTTGCTAACCACATGGTTATAGACTGACTACTGCAGTAAATGACCTGTACTTATACTAAAAGGCAAAGGGCAGTGAAGTGCCAAGTACACTGATCTCAATAATAATAATTATTACAGAAGTGATGCAGTTTTAAGGGCAGTGTCCCTGATGAAGGAATAAAATTGTATGACTGCTGTTGTGTATAGACTTTTAAATGATATGTCTGCCAAAACATGTTTTACTGTTCTTTCATTTCCCTCTCGTGGTGTTGCAAAGAAAGGGGTCCTCTGTGAAACAGGGAATCGGCTTGCACATTCTGAGGCTTAAAGAAAATGGTGAATAGAAAATCTGTGTCTTAACAAACATAAAAAGCAGTTACTGTTATGCATGGATATGCACACAGCTCTGCAGTACTTCTCAGAAGTGGAACGGCAGCAGTGTGTTCATGTATGTGTTAGTGATGTCTTAATAACATTATAACAGCCTGAGGTTTCAGTTGGCTTTAACCTGGTAGATCTTTAAATGTGCTGAATGCTTTGAATGAAAGAAACATTTAGAACCTAATGTGGAGAACATTTTAAAAGGCTCATTAAATGTCCACATCATATAAATTAATTTAGTTCTTCCATTTTACAGATTAATTAGGTTTCTTTTAATGAGGTCAATAATGGGGGAAAAAAACTTGAAGGTTAAAGCAGTAATGGGAGGAAAATTAAAGAATGATACTTTCTGATTCCTCAATAAAAGGACCAAGTTCCTCTGCTAGATTAGATGTTAAAAAAAAACCCAGAGAAGTTGTGTTTGTTGTTGTAAGCTGGTGTCACGTGCACTCGGTCTCGGCTTGTTTCGTTCTCGATTTCGGAAACATCTGAACGCCTCGACAGACAGCATGCGCGTTCATGTGCTTTGAAGGTGTGGTTTCGAGGGGTGGTCTGAAGGGAGAGGCATGGTTGTGTATGTTCAAAAATATAGGTTGCTGGATCCGTTTTTCCAAGATCTCATACGGCACCTTTAAGATATAATTAATACAAATTTCGGCCGATGATGTCACCATCCGCCGATTAAACTCCGAATTGAACCAAAGTGATCTCCTTTTTTAGTGCTACGTTTGTGCAGATTTATGCCGTTAAGACTGACATTTGTGCTGCTTTAGCTTTTAAGATACTATCGATTTTAAATTCGTCCGATGACACCACCTTCCTGTCATCCAATTTGAGTCCATTTTAACTTAACACTCTTAACTTATTTTGCAACAAACTAAAGTTATAAAACATTTGTAGACTCACCTTTATCTGTTACCGCCACTGCTGGTGGAACAAAGAACTACAGGATATGCTGCTATACATACCCCCAACTCTTCAACAAGCCCTGGGAAAGACAGGAAGTACTAGGTGTGTAGTTGGACCAAATGTCTGCAAAGGTATCCCCTCGGAAAACTGAAATCACAAGGGTAAATGGAAACGCTACCTAGGCTTTTAAAAGCCTCGGGCTTTTGAGTGGCAATGGAAAAGAGACTGCAGGCGTTTCTGAGGGATTTTAAATCATTTTGAGAAAGTGG